GTGAGAACATCACTATGCAGAGGCTACACCACCCATGCACTAAGCAGCTTTGCTTTATCCCTTTTAGCACACATATTATGCCCAATAGCCACATCTATGGAGAAAGCCCCTCTTTCCAACCCCCATAGTGTTGTAACCCCACATACTGTCTCCTCAGGAGACTTTTTGTACATACTTCAGTTAACCCCCTTAGAATGTTTCCCCCGAGTTCATATCCCTCACCAGTTGGTTCCTATAGATCCAATGGACCCCATGAAGCAGAAACTCCACCCTGAAACTACCGAATGCCTCTTAAGGCAGACCACTCACCTGATAAGGGGACTAAGCTGGTACGGTAAAACAGTGAACTTCACCCACCAACAGAATGTTAAAATACTACAATACCATTACCAGACGTCCCACCTGCACTCAGAGGCACAAACAACTCACATACCCCATATAAAGTATGAAAATACAAACTATCAACACGCGGCCTAAACACACCTCATAAGACGCATCATTTTAGAAGATGCCAAACATAATAAGATAGGTATCCTGTGTCAATAGAACACAATACCACGTGACCCATTCCTTGAAATCGAGAGGAGTCTCAATACTCATCCATAACTACCTAACATTTGAACTCTTGCAGCTCAAAAAAGATGCACAAGGAAGATACATAATACTACACTGCAAAATCAATGACACGCTTTATATCCTAGCGGGTATATATGGGCCCAATAAGAACCCCAAAAATATCCTATATAGAGTCCTGACAAAATTTCCCACTACACAAGCTACACCAATAATAATTAGTGGCAATCTCAATCACATACTGCAGCCCCGACTGGAGACAACTTTACCTGACTCCTCTCCTAGACATAAAACTCTGCGTACGCAATGCAAAACACTCACAAAATTGCTATCACAATATGGTCTATATGTAGTGATGTCCCGAACGGTTCGTGAACGGTTCGTCACGAACGGTTCGCCACGAACGGTTCGCCATGGATTCATCATTGAGTAAACTTTGACCCTGTACCTCACAGTCAGCAGACACATTCCAGCCAATCAGCAGCAGACCCTCCCTCCCAAACCCTCCCACCTCCTGGACAGCATCCATTTTACATTCATTGTGAAGCTGCATTCTTAGTGAGCTATCCAAGAGGTGGGAGGGTCTGGGAGGGAGGATCTGCTGCTGATTTGCTGGAATGTGTCTGATGACTGTGAGGTACAGGGTCAAAGTTTACTCAATGATGAGTCCGAGGCGAACCGTTCGTGGCGAACCGTTCGCGAACAGTTCGGCGAACCGTTCGGGACATCACTATTAACTTTCTTTAGTTGCTGCAGCACCTTGTCTTGAGTTAACCAATTACAATTATTCTGCAAGTTTTTAGTAGCAATCATTTGCACGTCTATTTCCATGGGTTCTTCCTTAATATATACGGAGGAGAAATAGTTATTTAAAATTCCTGCCTTTTCCTGGTCTTCATTAACTAACACCCCTGTTTCAGTTTTTAGTATACTTACACTTCCATTTTTTTGTTTTTTTAGAATTTATGTACTTAAAAAATGGTTTTGGGTTGGTTTTGCTCTCTTTAGCTATAATTTTTTCATTTTGAAGTTTACAAAATCTAATCGCCTTTTTGCACGCATTATTGGTACATGGAACGAAACAGCAGGCTAACTGGTACGGAAGGGATTGCCTAACACTGGAGGTGAGACTAGACTGCACATACTAACCGAAGCCATTCTCCATCACTTCATGCACCCTAGTAATTAGGGAAGGACTAGGCTAACCCCCTGGCTACGTTCCCAACACATTACATTTCAAAATGGGTTTGAATTGGATCAACTACTACACCTTCAACCCCCTACCTCCTACCTTAGTTTTCTCTTCCCCTCTTCCCCCTTTCCAAATAGGAAATCTGATCTATGATAGTGGTACACACTGCAACATGCAGGGATCCTGACGAACTAGCCCCAGCTCTATGTCAGAACAGTTATTTCTAAACACTGAAGGGGAAGTAATGTATACCATGTGAACCTAACTTCTGATGTACCATATTTCTGCATAACTATTGGATCTTATGGCATACCCTGTATATGTACCAATAAACTTTAATAAAATGTTTTACAAAAAATAAATAAAAAATTAACTCACTTTATAGTTCATCACTGATTAGTGAGAATTTGCTAAAAAAAACAAACAAAAAACCCACATATACATTTCTGCTACCTGTATGGTGCACTCTCCTGGTGCTTGTGGCTCTGATTTGTGTTGTTCATTTTTTACCAGTCCTAAGGAATGAACTAAATGATGGATTTGTATTCTTAACACTATAGCATCCCTTTAACCCCTTAGTGACCAGACCGTTTTTTAATTTACTTACCATTAAGGACCAGGGCTCTTTTTACATTTCTGCGGTGTTTGTGTTTAGCTGTAATTTTCCTCTTATTCATTTACTGTACCCACACATATTATATACAGTTTTTCTTGCCATTAAATGGTCTTTCTAAAGATACCATTATTTTCATCATATCTTATAATTTACTATAACAAAATTCTAAAATATAATGAAAAAAATGAAAAAAACACACTTTACTTTGACCCCCAAAATATGTTGCGCATCTACAACCGCCAAAAAACACCATTCTAAATAGTTTCTAAATTTTTTCCTTAGTTTAGAAATGCCCAATGTTAACATGTTCTTAGTTTTTTTAGGAAAATTATATGGCTATAAGTACTAGTAGCACTTTGCTATTTCCAAACCATTTTTTCAAAATTAACGCAAGTTACATTGTAACACTGATATCTGTCAGGAATCCCTGAATAACCCTTCACATATATATATATATATATATATATATATATATATATGTCTATTCTTTAAAGGAAGACAACCTAAGGTATTAAACTTGGGGTATTTTGACTCTTTTCATGCAACCATTTTACCACCAATCTATGCCAAATTTAAAAAAAAATAATTGGTGATTTTTTTGACACACATAGCAATTTAAGAATACATGTACTGAGCACTTTAAGGGTTACTGTGAAAGAACACCCCAATATGTGTTCAGCAACATCTCCTGAGTACAGTGATACCACCCAAAAAATGGGTGTCAGGTTCTCTGGGGGCTAAAAGACCTTATTTGGAGGGTGCACATTTCAGTTTTCCATCTTGGAATTTTCATAGCTGATCATCATGCACCAATGTCGTATTTGGGACATTTTTGAAGCCGGCCAATGTAATTTACCTCCATCAAACCATATATTTTTGAAAAGTAGACACCCTAGGGTATTTCAAAGGGTGGTATTTTAACATTTTCCATGCACTAATTCTACATCCAGTCTTTGTCAACCTTTTGGGTAGTCATTTTTTGTGTTATTTTTCACACACATTGTACTTTAGGCATGAATTCTCAGCTCCTGTTATGTATTACTGCCAAAGAACACAATATTTGTTCAGCAACATCTCCTGAGTACAGTGATACCACCCATGTATTGGTGTATCGGGTTCTCTATGGGCTAAAAGACCTTATTTGGAGGGTGCACATTTCAGTTTTCCATCTTGGAGTTTTCACAGCTGATCATCATGCACCCATGTGCTATTTGGAACTTTTTTGAAGTTGGCCAATGTAATTTAACCTCATCAAACCATATATTTTTTAAAAATGTAGACACCCTAGGGTATTTCCAGTGGTGGTATTTTAAGACTTTCCATGCACTAATTCAACCACCAGTCTTTGTCATACGTTTGGGTAGTCATTTTTTGTGTTATTTTTCTCTCACATTGTAATTTAGGCATGGATTCTCAGTTCCTGTTATGTGTTACTGCCAAAGAATACCCAATATGTGTTCAGCAACATCTCCCAAGTACAACAGTGCCCCCAATGTACAGGTTTTATGGGTTTTTGCAAACTTACAGGGATCAAATGTAGGGCTTTCCTGTTTTCTATGTTTGCACATTGAAATTTGCCAGATTGGTTTGCTGGGCCTTTGTTGCCTTTGAGACCATATAGCAGCCCAGGAATGAAAATAAACCCCATCATGGCATACCATTTGTAAAAGTAGATAACCCACGGTATTCAAAATGGGTTATGTCCAGTCTTTTGTAGTAGCCACAAATGCTTGCCAAAGTTAGCGTTCATATTTGATTTTTGCATTATTTTTACACAAAAACTGCACTTTTACTTGTGATTTCATTGTCGTTTTACTGTTGTAAACACCCATATTTGTGTTCAGCGAAATCTCCTGAGTATAACAATACCCCCCTTGTACAGGTTTTATGGTGGTTTGAAAAGGTACAGGGTCAATATAGGGCATGCCCAATTCAGTTTGCCAGATTGGTTTGCTGGGTCTGTGTTGCCTTTTGCGACCATATGGTAGCCCAGGAATGTGAAATAACCCTATCATGGCATACAATTTCCAAATTTAGACAATCCAGGGTATTCTAAATGGGGTATTTCTAGTCTTTTGTTGTAGCCACTTAGTCACAAACGCTGGCCAAAGTTAGCGTTTTTATTTGTTTTTTGCATTTTTTTTTAACACAAAAACTGCACTTTTACTGGTGATTTCATTGTAGTGACAAGTTTTACTGTTGTAAACACTCATATTTGTGTACAGCGAAGTCTCCCGAGTATAACAATAACCTTCCTGTACAGGTTTTATGGTGGTTTAAAAAAGGGACAGGGTCAATATCGGGCTTGCCCAATTCAGTTTGCCAGATTGGTTTGCTGGGTCTATGTTGCCTTTCGAGACCATATGGTAGCCAAGGAATGTGAAATAATCCCATCATGGCATACCATTTTCAAGTGTAGACAACCCAGGGTATTCCAAATGGGATATTTCCAGTCTTTTGCAGTAACACAACAAAAGACTGGAAATAGCAGTACTTAGTCACAAACGCTGGCCAAAGTTAGCGTTCTTATTTGTTTAGAAATTTGTATATATATATGTATATATATATATATATATATATATTGTGTGTGTGTATGTGTGTGTGTGTTTTTTATAGAGAAAACTCCTCCCACAAATTCAGACCTATGGCCTTTTACACACATATATATATATATATATATATATATATACATACATATATATGCACACACTCACACATATAATGCGTGTGTATGTATGTATATATATATATATATATATATATATGTAAAAGGCCATAGGTCTGAATTTGTGGGAGGAGTTTTCTCTATAAAAAAAAAAAAAAAGCTCTACCCCCCCCCCTGCTTACCTATGCTGGTTCCTGTTAAAGTGCCTGTTGCCACGACAACCAGCACTTACAGTTTCTTCGGCCCTCCATTTGCTCCAGAAGCAGCCACAGACTCGTCTTCAGCCTCTGACCCGGCTCACAGCTCTCCAGACCCGGCTTGCAGCTTCATTTGGGGCTCTATCTGACTGCAGGGCCTCCTATCCAGTTCTCGTTCTCTGTAACCAGCTTCCTGCCGCATGACGTGGCATGCTCACGTATGTACATGTGGGAACCCATTCACGGCGTTCCTACGTTCTGGCCTAACAAATGCTGGGATTGGCTCCCTCTGTTTAGCTTTACTATGCCGTTCATCTAATTCCGTTCTGTAACGGACCTCCCCATACTCCGACTGAGTACCTTCCGTTGATGGACGCTTCCTAGCTTGCGCTGAGGACCACAAGCACCACACCGGACACCACAACCACAGCAGACTCCACAACCACTGTAGCTTAACTGGAGTCTTGCCGTCTTCTGTCCACCCTGGATCATCTTCTGTCCTCCAGGACCGTGTGGGGAAGACCTCTCCTCCAGGAGAGCGTTTCAGGAACAAGCTCTTAAAAGAGCTAAGTGATTAAAGTTCAAGGGAGTATGCAGAGCATAGCAATCCCCAGTGTGAATATAGCTGTCCCCTCCAATGATGACAAGACTATGTGTTGAGGGTCAAGAAGAACTGTGTTTAATTAGCACCAAAGGGTCTTCTTTTATGGAGGTCTTACACATAGAGGACCACCCACAGGGTTTTTCAGAAGAACCAATAGAAGCATTACAACACGTACAATAAAATAAACCACTCCCAGCAGAAATCCTCCCCTCTGCCTGTGATACAATTATCTCAACACAAAATACAGTATTATAAAACATATCACAAGGACCCCAAAACATGCAATAGCCCCATAAAAAATATCATCTGAACCGGGGGATCTGGGTGAACCACATATCCAAAATTCACCCAGATACGTTTAGTAGTTTGGAAGATACGGTTTAATGCAGATTCCGCAGAACATATACAGGCTATATGAAAAATAATTAAATGTGTCCCCTGTTTTGTAGTTTATAACTACTGAATGATGTCTTTGTGCACCAAATACCGACGAGATGGCACCATGTAGAAAAGTCAAAACAGTGTCTGTGAGTTAAAATGGCCGCCATCCATTGTTCTCACTATGTGCTTCATCCATTGTTCTCACCATGTGCCTCTGATACATGAAATGGTGGCCATCCAGTAACTCCACAGTTTGTCTGGTAGTCTATCCAGCCGAACCAACAGATGAAACACGTGGGGGGAACAATGCAACAAATGAAGTGAATCATAAAAAAATATGGACAATAGTCATATTTGTGCACAATCACAGGGCACAAATAGTGTTTTCAAATGCCATATATCCCAGGGCCATAGTCAGAAGGTAGGAGGCTGGCAATCAGTTCTCTCCAATGCCCAGTGGCAAATGACAGTTTGTCACACTTGTTTTTTTGCTTTTTCCATATATAAGCTGAGAAGCTGGCTTGTATCATATCTAACCAAATTTTCGATATTTTTAAAGGGATCATTGAAAACAGGTAAGACCACTTCGGTAAAATATATGAATTTATGGTACTGATTTTCCCCAGCCATTATGTTTCTACATTTCTCCATATTTTTAAACTCTTATTTGTATATTTTAGTAACTTCATAACATTAATTTCCATCGTATTTGTTACCTTGGTGGGTATTACTACTTATTTTTTATTTATTTTCTAGTCCATACTGTATGAATTTATAATCTTTGCTTAAGTTTTCTACCATGGATCTATCAATATTTTTATACAGTGCTATAGATTTGGAAAGATTCAGTTTATAATTTGAAACTGCACTGTAATTATTTATTTCTTGCATTAAATATGGAAGAGCTTGTTCAGGTGATGTAAGTGTTATATATATAAAACATCAGCATATAATGAGATTTTTTTTTTTTTAAATTCTTTATTTTTGCTGTGCATATGTGTAGTACAGGCAGGTGAGAGGTGCCCCAAGAGCAGTCCTCCAACATTTCCCACGCTCAGCATGTGGGGCACAAGATAGACAAGCACAATTTTATATTGATGTCAGGTATAAACAAACGATTGAATAGTAAGATGCATATGTCAGGGTGAAATATTCAGAGGTGTGACAAAGGTAGAAAAACATGACACATGCAAGTATAATATTAACATGGAGATAGCAGGCTAGTAAGCATCATTTTCTGGTATAACATGCAAGATTTAAACAGACTGATAGCTTAATTGTATGCTTGCTTGCTTGCTTAATGACACGTTCGGTTAACATAAGTCAGAGTATTCAGGTATTAAGTAGCATATACGTAGGCAGTAAACCATCCACATGAGTGATAACAGACATTGCTTAATAGGATGTACAATTAAAGGTTATGCTTTATATGACATTATTAACATTTCCTGGTTTGGTTATAACCGGTTGGACTTAACAAGCTAGGTACATCTCCTGAGTGCACAGTAGCATAGTATACATTAGGTAGATACAGAGCAAGCCTGCCCTAACAGTCTCAGGCTCACAAGTTAAATGTGCTCTGGTACTGCAATAAGTTTGTGTATTTAGGCATGTAGACATAGGACCAGGTAAACTGGAGTCTGTACTCGACCTTGCTCTTCAGAAGTGAGAAGAATCAAAAGCAAACATACTAACTATATAACTAACTATATAAACCACTGTGTCCCCACGCACCCAATCACTGAGTTGCAGTGTAGAGTAAGCCCTGCAGAGTTTAGACTTATAGAATAGAGTGATGATAGGTAGGAACTCAAGTCCAAATGAGTATTTTGCTAGGTTATAAATAGCACATTAGCGCAGGGTGGCGGTGTTGTCCAATTAGGTAACGGCCAAAAGTGGATGGGGACCAGACCTGTAATGTGAGTGCAGCTTCAGCCGATGCCAGTGCATGGGAACCCGCTGAGGCGGGCATGGGGCGTTTTGAGGCAGGTGTAGAGGTCGGCATCCCTCCAGCCCCAGGCCCTGATGAGAGCTTGCATCTCATTGCCACGGATTCGGTGGCTCAAGTTAGAGTCCGGATCCTTCCCATGTTGGGGATAGCATGAGCTCCAGGTGTTTCTTCGTCGCCTGCGGCGTCGGGGCTTCAGCTTCTGTGGATGATGCCGGGAGATTGCCTCCCTGTGTGCTCTCCGCCTGGGTGGGCCAGTGGTATAATGAGATTTTTAACTCTCTGTTCCTTGTACTAAATCCCCTGACATTTTAGTTTTCTCTAATATTGATTGCGAGTGGCTCGACTGATAATATATATAACAAAGGGGACAGAGGACATCCCTGTCTTTTTTAAGGTCGAACCAACCCTCACATATATTTGCTCCGACTGTCCTCGCTGAGGGGGCAGAGTATAGTGCCATTATTGCCTTGTGAATCCAACCTCTAAACCCAAAACTTTCTAGGAATCTCTCCAGGTATCCCCAGCTGACCCTGTCAAACACTTTCTCAGCATCCAACGACAGGGTCAGAAGGGGAATCATTTTCTTTTCAGACTGATCTAAGATATCCATAATCCTTCTGGAACTGTTTGTTGCGGATCTACCAGGAATTAAACCAATCTGATCTATATGTATTATTTTTGCTATTATTCTTTTCGTTCTTTCAGCTATAATAGAGGCATATAGTTTCATATCGACATTAATCAAAGAGATTGGTCTGTAATTACCTACAACAGTACTTTCTTTATTAGGCTTCAAGATTGGGAGCAGATTTGATTGTAACAATTCTTTCGGCAATTTGGTGCTAACTGCAGTCTCATTAAATAGCTTAGACAGAGGTTTGATCAATATAGTTACATAGTTACATAGTTACATAGTTACATAGCTGAAAAGAGACTTGCGTCCATCAAGTTCAGCCTTCCTCACATTTGTTTTTTGCTGTTGATCCAAAAGAAGGCAAAAAAAACCCAGTTTGAAGCACAATTTTGCAACAAGCTAGGAAAAAAATTCCTTCTTGACCCCAGAATGGCAGTCAGATTTATCCTTGGATCAAGCAGTTATTACCCTACATTGAAAGATTATATATAGGTTTCATTAACTTATAGTATAAATTTGTGAAGCCGTCAGGGCCTGGGGTTTTGTTAATTTCTAACCTGTCTATTTGTTTTTCTACTTCTTCTGATGAGAAAAATCTTAATTTAGTATTTTCAGGTCTTCATCAGATATTTTTGGTATCTTCGTGTTATTTAGGTAATTTTGAATATCTATATCGTTAGGATTATTTTGTAGATTGTATAGATCACTATAGTAACTATTAGATTTTTGCCCATGTGGTCTGGAGAAATATAAATCTTGTGGTCTTCGACAAGTCTCTCTATTCTGTTTCTTGATCTTTGTTTTTGTAATTTTCTTGTCAAATTTTTACTAGCTCTATTGCCTGTTTAATAATTATCTAGCTTCAGTTTATCTATAGTTATTTTATTTTTTTCTTCTGTTTTAATATTAATTTTATTTTGCAGTTCCCCTAACATTATTTTTCTTTCAGGAGATGGTTGGATTTTGTTTAAATTTGAAAGATTATAGTATAATATATATAGCTCTGATAGATTTTGCCCCAATTTTTTTCTTTCTATCTATATGTCCCATTTTTATTAAATAACCCCTCATTACTGCTTTATGTGAACACCAAGTTGTAGTTTGTGAGAGCTCTGTTGAATTATTTTCTAGACATGTGCACTTCGTTTCGGTCCGAATATGAATTCGGACGAATTTCGGGAAATTCGGACATTCTGGTACTTCCGAATGTCCGAATTGCCTAAGTGCCGAATTGCCGAAGTGCCGAAGTTCCGTAGTGCTGAAGTGCGGAAAATGCCGAAGTTCTGAAGTTGCCGAAGTTCCGAAGTGTCGAAGTGCCGAAATTGCCGAAGTTCCGAAGTGCTGAAGTGCCGAAGTTCCGAAGTGTCAAA